CCCCCCCCCCCCCCCCCCCCCCCCCCCCCATGATTTGCGCGGCCAGAGGGAATATTCCTGGAGGCCGGTCAAACGACGAACGCTAACAATGAACGACCCCCCCCCTCTCCTCCCCGTGCTTCTCTCGGCGGCGCTGTTCTTGACTGCGGGGCACTTGACGTGACGGTATGACCCGTGCACGCGCCACCGTACCGTACCGCACCGTACCACGTACCACGTACCACGGGTCAGGCCGCCGAGCGCCTGACGGCCAAGGTTGCCGTCCGGGAGGATGTCGTGTCGACCTTTGTCGGCCACGCCGGGTCGGAGATACGGAAGCTGCGGCGCCTCTGCGTCGGGTGCGACCTCGGGCTGTCGCCGGCGACAGACGGCGTGGCTGAGGTGTTGCTGCTGGCGGATGACGAGGCTAGGCTCGCCGCCGCCGTCGGCCTGGTCGAGAAGTGGGTCCATCACCAACAGGTTCGGACATCTTTTTGCTGTACTTGTGCATACCTCTGGGATACGCCGGTCACTTTTTGGTGCTGCTACTGATGACCGACAGATTTTCTAGAGGTGCTCTGCTAGCAGTCTGCTACATTGACTGCAGCGGGTCCAAACCGCAAGCTTGAAGTCGAGGCTCGTTTTCGAGTGCAGTACTGAAGCTGGTTCTTCAGCTAGAGTTGTCGCCCGCAGCTACTTACTTCAGATCCAGGCTCACCGCGTTCCTTTTTAAGCGATGAATTGAAGTGGACTCGTCAACATCGGGTTCGAGTTACTACAGCAACAATCACCGGATAGGATATGTAGACATGCGATGGTACAACTGCATCAAAAGACTCGTTGTATTGTGTGCCGATCGGCTCCCAAGCCGATCAACTATCCTCAAGGCCGGGGCTACTGTTTTCACTTTATCACGTACTATTTCATTCTTCGCGCTATTTGGCACGGAACTTAGTGCTTGGGGAAGCGTCTACGGGCGAGCTCAGTCGACGTCCGTTCGAAGAGCGAGTAGCCGGGTCTAGAAGTCTAAATTGTTTTGCGTTGCAAATGTACGTTGTAGGAGCTATGATTCCAACTGCGAACAAAGACTAGCTGTTGCAGCTGCGTCCGTGATGTGTAGATGCTGCTGTCTTCCCGAACCTTTCACAGAAGGGTAATTTCGGTTTATCTCCATCATCCCCGTACTAGAGGTAAGCAGGGGGGAGCACGGGCGGGATGGACGGCGGAGTGGCTGCGTGTGCGTGTCTGGGCAACAGGTTCGGTATATGCTACACATGTTGCACAAGCGGTGCCGCGTCTCCCGCTCCCCACGCCACGACCTACCACCTAGCGCACATCTAAATACCACCAGTGTGGTACAAGCAGAACGGCAAGCGCAAGGCGTCCAATGACGCTACCGCCGCCCTTACCCTCCCGCTCCTCCTTCGACCTCGGCAGGTTCGGATGGTGGCCGTGGGGTCGAAGATAGCCGGGATGCTCAGGACTTTCCGCGCCGCGGGAGTGAGAGACAGGATTACCGGGGCTAATCGGCGGCAAAAGGGGTCGGGGACAAGCGGTGGCGGCGGCGGCGGCGGAGGAGGAGGAGGAGGAGGAGGGGGAGGAGGAGGAGGAGGAGGAGGAGGAGGAGGAGGAGGAGGAGCGAACTCGAATGATGGCGGGCGGGCGAGGGGTGATGCGGGTGAAGGAGGAGACGCGGACGACCTGTTCGGAGGCGTGATGATGGACTCCTTGGTGGCGGAGGGCATGGTGAGAGAAAAACGGGGTCCGGGGACTGGAGAAGGGGGGACGTGCTCTCTGTTTTGCATGCATTTAGCTGTTAGACCATTGACCGGGCATCCTTGAGAGGACGGAGCATTGTTCCTAAAGGACCGATGGCGAAAACCAACCGTTCCTTCCTTTTTGGCCAGAGGGTACTCTCATTGTCATGTATGCCGAAGAGGTAGGTAAGGTGTTGTTCTCCGTAGCCCCTTGCATCTCTTGTATGTTTTGTGCCGGAACGGAGAGCCTCGGGAGTTTCGGGGAACACGTCGGATTTTCGACGGGACCGGGCAGGCATTCTTTCCACCAAGTGTTTGTCGCGGTGTGAGTGTGGGACATACATACAGGCCAGTCGAATCAAGGGCGGGTCGCAGTATCCCCAGTTTTGCCAGGCTTGATATGTTGGCTTGCGGGAAAGGGGGTGGGGGAATTCGCACCATCTGTGGCAGGCGAGTCTTTGTTGATTTTCGTCGAAGCGTGCTCTTAGTCGTCTTCTTCGTCTTCTCCCTTGGTGATCGGGTTTCGTTCCAGATGTTGGGGTCATCCGTAGGTAGATTGGGCTCAGACACCGACCCTCACGGCTGGTGCTTCACCCCCCTGCGGAATTTAGCACAAAGTAAACACAAAATAAATGTCTTTCGTGTACGTATGTGTGACAAGAACAACAATCACTATGACGACTGCCGAACGTACAATGCTTTCGGGTGGCGCCAGGTGAGACTGAGGGGCGGGGACGAGGAGCTGGACCGTGCGGAACGCCTCGTGAGGGAGTTCGAGGCGGACAACTGGACCACAGAGGCACCTGTAGCGATCAGCGATGAGGTACGGTGCGCTGTGTGAGCACATCGCCGGGGTTGTGAAAACCATTCACCCGACATCTTTTGTACAACAGTTTTTTTTTTCCTACTTTGCGTATTGAAAATACGTTCGGCGTGACCCGTGAGCAAGGTGGGTGTGCCTAGAGAGCGGGGGATTGTTTAGCATTCATGAAGCGTGGGGTGATTTTGCGTTTGTTGTTGTGGTTGTTGCTGTCATGTACTCTCGGCCATCGTCACGTCGGCGCACCGCGTTAAGTTAAGCTGGTTGGTCAAGCACCCTCGAGGCAGTTACACAGTGCTTATAGAGTAGTGGGCCCTCAATAACGCCGGTATGTGCCTGGCGAATCAACCGGCGCTATTCAATGGATAGAATGACGTGGTGCTTCAGTCTGTGCCGAGCAATTTCACTGGCGCGATGCAGGGCCACCGGCGCCAGTCAACCGGCTTTGCTGACCCCCCCTCACTGCAACTGTCTCTGGAATTGAAAGCATCAGAAATGAATCAAACCATTGGCAGCTGTCATCCGTACGCAAGGAAGTGAGCACAAGATACCGAACACGCTTAGCAGGATGCAGCGCACCTCCATGCGACTCGCCGAATACCGCACGTGATGCCATGAAGTCGACCATTCCGCCATTAAACCACCAACACTACCAGGGAATATAAGTCCACGAAGTGACAATTATATCGTTTCACCATCCCGTCATCCCATGTACTCATCATTCCGCCATGCAATCCTTTCGTCCCGTGATTCCACGAAGTGACCATTCCGTCATTCCATATGTGATCCCCTCGTGGCCAGGACGTGCTGCTTCGGAAAGGTTTTCTCCGGAACATGCAGGCCAACCAGACCGATGTCAACCTCCACTTCCTTCGCGATAGGGGAGTCGTTGTGGTGCGAGGTCGGCAGAAGCATGCCGAAAGCGCGGCGACCTTACTGCTATCGAAGCTGCACGGAGGAGGGGAACTCGATGAGAACGGGGTGAGAGAGGTAGATAGAGAGAGGGACACAGAGAGAGAGAGAGAGATGGAGAGAGTGGATGAGGTTTAGACGGACAGTATGAAAAAGAGGGAAAGGGAGAGAGGGAAAGAGAGAAAGAGATTGTTGTTTGCAACGCTGCTTTCAAGACCGCAAGAGTTCGTCATGCGCAACCGAAGGAAGAAGGGAACACGAAGGACACACCGGGGCTTGGATGTAGAACACGCGTGTTTCTTTCAGGAGGTGTGCTGACATAAAAGCAGAAAACATGGCTGCTGGGCAAGTGCACTAGGCGAGATACAGGCGAACAATGCACCGGTTGCTCTCTCGCCCTCGTTCGATTCTTGTTTCACCAACGCTTTTCCAACCCCCAACCCCCCTCTCCCCGTCCGCGCACGTCTTCCGTTCTCTCCCCCCTTCTCTCCGCTTCCCCGCCCACCTAGATGCCTCCTTGTTCAGTGTCCTTGGTTGCCGTGGCCCCATCCGGCATGGAGGTCCTCACGGCTCGCGGCCGTCTGCACCTCAAGAGGCTGTCCGCCGACACCGGGACCGAGATGCACGTTATCCCCCCTGCGTCCGTGGTTAGGATCAGAGCCCGGGGCCGGGACCCCGAGGCCGTGGCGGAGGCCACGAGGGCCCTCCTGAGGTTCGTAGGGGGCCACCGGGCGGAGGTCTTCTTGGACCTAGCCAAGGTTGAGTCGGACGCGTCTCCTCCGGCTCGACGTTCTTCCAGCGGCGGCGGCGGCGGCGGCGGCGGTAGCGAAGGCAAGGCCGGAGCGGAGGCGATGCAAGAGGTGGTCAGCGGTGGCGGCGGCGGCGGCGGCGGCGTTGGCCGGGACGGAGGTGTCGGGGCTAGCGCGGCTGACGCCAAGAAGGCCGTACGGACGCCGGTAAGCTCGGTGAGCAACAAGATCATTCGGCGGACGGTGAAGCTCCATGGCTGCGAGGCGGAGTTTGTAGCGGCCCCGCCGCCGTCGCCCCCGGTGTCCTCCAACACCGCTAGCGGCGGCAGGGGTGGCGGCAACGGCAACGGTAACCGCCGCGGCGGGAGTGGTGCAGGAGCAGAAAGACACCGCCACGGCCCTCACAAGAGCGGGCCTGGCCGTCAAGATGCCGGCGGTCGAGGAGCGGGGGTCGGGGCCACCACAACCGCCGACGATACCCACGACGACGGGTCACTGTCGGCGGTGACCGGTGTGTCGTACACTTCGTCGGCGCCGGCGAGAAGGGTTATGATTCGGGGCCTGCCCGGACTGGTGGATAAGGCTCGAGACGCGCTGGTTGCTCTGGTTTTGGGACGGGAGGATGGCGAGGTGGCGCTGGGGGAGGAGGCTGCGGCGGCTTTGGGAGCGGACAGCTGGAGGAAAATTCAGGTGAGAGGAGCATGTGTTTGTGATCCATGCGGCATTGTTTTTTTGGTGGTCCTTGTTGGGTGTTGCTTCCGTGCACGAGGCCGTTCTCTCCTTCCAAGTTGGTTTGCTTTGTCCTTACATTACTTCGTTTGCCTTGGTGCTGATCCATGCGGCGTTTTTGTTTGGTATTTTTTTTTGTTGCCACCTGCACGAGAACTTTGAAGGTGGCATTGCTCCGACCTGCTCGTGCGCATGTTCCCGCTCTTCGGTTCGTACCCTCGTCCTCAGGATTCAAGCGAAAGGGTCACCATTACCCCGGATAGGTCGAGGTGCTCGCTTCGGGTCTCCGGCCCACCGGCGGCGGTTGAGGCGTGCAGGAGGGAGTTGTACACCATGCTCGCGGACGCGTTTCGGGGAGAGTTTGTCGCGGTGAGTGTCGTTAGTCTGTCTGTCTGTCTGCCTCTCTCGCTGTCTCTCTCTCCAGGTGGTATAATAGCGTCATTCTTCAGTTTCGGTGGCGACTTATTTTACTTGTTCTTCGCAAGGGAGGTGTTCTTCAGCCGTACGTGCCACGAGTCCCAGTTGAAAATTCAAAGCTTCTCTCGTCTATGCCGTCGCCTCGGCTCTACCCGGCCGGCATTCTCCCGGTCATGTCAGGGGGAAAGAGGAGAATATTGAAGCAGCCGCGCAGGAGAACATTTCACCCGTCAGACGGCGTGCTCATCTGCTGTCACGCCGCAGACCAGCCTCCCTGGAGTGAAACCCATGGCATGTACCGCCGCCATGTGACGCCGTGCGCGAAAAGAAGAAGTCGACTATTCCATTCGTACGGCGATCTCACGTCAAACTTTCTAAACCACATCGCTTCCCTGCCCACCAGGTGCCCATCCCACGCGAGGCCCTCCACGAGGTAGCCACCCCCCTTCGCCTTGCCGATGCCGCCGCCGCCGCCGCCGCCGCTACGGCCTCCTCGCCAAGGACCGGCGATGGCAAGCGAACCGCGGCGGCAGCGGGGCAAATAGCGGAGGTTCTGGGACCTATGGGAGTCGCTGCGGCGGCGTGCGGGTGGCGGGGCGAAGGCAACGTACAGCTCTTGGCCGACTGGCCGTGCTCGTGCGTTCGTGTGAGGGGGGAAGCAGCGGCCGTGAGCGTGGCGGTGAGATACAGGGAGGGGGGGTGGATTCGGGGGTTGTGTGGGAAGGCTTGGGTGTACATCCACTTGTTTGGGCGCCACCGGCGTGTTGAGGGAGTGGTAGCGGGCGGGGGGCCGGGGGATTCGCAGGCCTAGAGCGGGGAGGTGAGGGTGTACTCGTAGTCGTGCATGCCGTAGTCGTTAGACCATTGACCTCGCATCCTGGGTTCTCACCGGGCCAGGCTCTGACTCACATCACCAAGCGCGAAGCGCCGTGAGGTGTTCGGCGAGTCGCATCGAGGGTGCGCTGCATCCTGCTAAGGATGTTCGGCATCTTGTATAGAGTGGGGAGGGGGGGTGGGTAATTTGTGGTTGATTGCGGATGGAGGTGTGTCGCTGTGGAGTTGTGCTGCGGTGGAGGCAGTAAGACCGCACCAGTAAGGCCGGTCGCCCTGTGAGATTGCGTGACACAGATGCGCTATTCAACTTATCCCATACTCTGAATTGTGCCGGGGGACCGATACAAGGCCGGCCAAATCCCTTGGAACTGTTATGCGGCCTTGTTCAGGGACTACCGTCCGTGCCGCTTCCCGAAACACCACGGTGCTTTGCCCTTTGCGCTCGGTGCCTGCGCCGCCCCGGTCCGGCGAAAAGCCGGCGTGTGCCGCCCCAGCTCTGCTGGGATGCGAGGTTTACGGTCTAGCGCCTACAGAAGACGCCTCCACTGTTAGAGGCTCTTGTCTTGCCGGTAGGGTCACCCAACGTCAACCACATATGGGTGATAGTGTAGGCTTCTTAACTGAACACCTGTTCACATCGACAACCTCTTCTTTGTGGGATCTTTTTGAGGCTAGTGTATTTACTCCCAGGTTCCCAATGTGAATGTGGCGAGTTCTGCGTGTCATGCGTCAAACGAGATCCCCCCCCCCCCCGGCCGCCGCCGCCGCCGCCGCCGTGGCCATGAAACTTCTCGCCCCAACGAAAACACAAGGTGGGCGAGATCAACACCGCACTGTCGAAGTGGTCAGCCCTGGCCGTTGCCGCGGAGGTCGAGGAGTGGATGGAGCCGGAGCTGTTCGGCAAGCAGCGCAAGGCCATCAAGAAGCTGTCCCAGAGCATGGGAGGTGTTGTCCTCAACGTCGTCGACGGCGTGTGCAGCGGGAGAGCCGCGTCCGAGGAGGAGGCTCGGGATGCGACGAGAAAGCTCGAGGAGCGGGTGAGGGAGGGGATACCCCGGTCGATCCGCCGGGGGGGTGCGGGTGGAAGTTGTGGGACGCACAGCGGTATGCTGGCCCTGTTTTGGCGACCTCTTTTGGACACTGGACACCTTGCTAGCGTTGCTGGGGATGTTTTTTTTTTTGTGGAATGGTTGTGGAGGGACTGATTGAGGTGGGGCCGGAAGAAGAGGATGGGACCGGGCGTGCCTTTGAGGCGTGGCGGTGTCGTCGAGTGCTGTTGAATGCATTTCTCATTACCTACAAAGAGCGGGTAAGGCTCGGTCTGATAACATTGTCTTTTCCCAACGGTTGTTCGTGTTTTTCTTCCGGATAAAAAAATCATCGATTGTTGGGCACGAGAAAACATCCCAAAACGGGAGAAACGAACGTGAATTTTTCTTTTCGTGGTCACAAAATTTCAAAATAAGGATAGTCGTGATTTGTGGGGAGAAATCAAGTCGATAAGAACGTGCCCAACTCGCCCAGAAGACCCACAACATCGCGATAACCTAACCGGTACAGGAGTACGTCTACCGAATCAAGGAGAAGTCATTTACGAATTATTCAGGCCCTCAGTCCAGAAAAAGTGTTCCCGTTCCGCCGCCGCTCCATCTCTCTCCCTTACTACGCGGAACTTGTCCTGACCACGGTCCCCTCTGCCATCCGGTCGCGACCGACGACCAAAAAAAAAAAATAGGTGAGCGAGCTACGAGCTAGGCGGGCAGTGGTGCGAGTGCCCCCGGAGGTTGTGACCCGGCTGACAGGCCGAGGGGGATGTAGCATCGACAAGATCAAGGAGAGAACGCGCGCGACCATACGCATCGGGGAGGGGGTAGGAGGGAACGAGGTTATCATCTGCGGGGACCCCTCCGCTGTCGCCGCGGCCAGGCGCGAGGTGAGTGATTTATTCCCGCTGCGCCACTCAGAGTCTGGAGCGCGTACACACCCCTCGAGCTAAAAGTCCGCGTGTAGTTGGTCGGGAAGATTTGTACATGTTGGTAAGGTGCTTGCTTGTTCGTTGGCGTTCGTGCCTTGTATCGATATTTTCTTTTTACGTCCGTGAATAGGCACACCTTCCTCACCGCTCCGTGCTAGGGTGATAGATGGGGTCCCGTTCCGTGAGCACAGCGGGGGAGCAGCACGCAACACGGCTTCACAAGGTGCTGCCCCGGTGCCACGTATAAATCCCGCCGACGTTTTCGGCCTTCCAGCAGTTGCAGGCCACGACGGCGTTGCGAGGAAGCTGCCCCCGCTAGCAGGTCGTTATTTTTTTCCTTGGCGAAACACGCCCTATTACTCCAAAATCCCCGTACTTCTTCAGAAGATAAATCTATCTGGTTATTGTTGGGTGTATGTAGTATGCGAGTACACTTCACGCGTGACCTCCACTGAAACCTAACCCTACCAACAACGACCTCCATAGGTGGAGGCAATGGCTCGCGGGCCGTCGAAGAGCAGCCCTGCGGCCCAGGCCCCCAAGGACAGGCAGAGCCCAGACGGCGGCGTTCCTGACGCGGCCGGGGACCCTTCGCCGCTCCTGCCGCCTTCCCCAGGCGAGGGGGTGCCGCAGACGGGAACCCCGTCGCCCCTGCCCCCATCGCCGCAGAACCAGAACCAGCTGCACGCCGGCAACGCTGCGGGCGGCGGGGGTCAGGATGTTGATCTGGCGGACCGACGGGGGGGTGAGGCGACGGCAGGTTCGGTGAAGACGGCAGGTGCGGTCCCGAAGCTCGACGGCGAGGGTTACCGCCGCGGCGTAGAAGACCAAGAACGGGTTGCCGAAGAGCAGCCCCCAGTCGTGACCCCGCCGGGCGGCAGCGGCGACGCGCGACAGGCGCCGGGGCCGAGCGCCTCGGGATCGACCAGGCGCCCGCTTGGCGATCGTGATGCCTCCTCCAGCGGGGGCGGCAGCAACAGCAGCAGCAGCAGCAGCAGCAGCAGCAGCAGCAGCAGCAGCAGCAGCAGTACCGGCAGCGGGAGCTTCGGAACGAAAGAGAGGGATATTCCCCGGGGCGGCGGGGGTTCTACCGGGGTTGCGGCAGAGCCGGCGGGGTCACCACCACCCGCCGTCGTGGGTGGCAGCAATCACCCGGCCAAGGGTTCTTCGGCGTCGTCGTACCGAGGGAGGCTCGGCGAGCGCGACACGCGGGTGTCGGCGGCGACGGAGTCGGAGGCGGAGCGCCTCCTTGCCAGCCTTCTCCTCGTGGACAACGTGGCGGCGGACGTGGGGCGGTTGTCGGGCCGGTCGCACTTCTCGCGCCGCCGTCGCGAAGGGGCGGCGGCGACGACGGGCGTGGGTGCCGGCCTGCGACAGCCGCCGCCGCCGCCGCCGTTTTCTGGTTCTGGCGATACCGGCGGACACAGAGCGACACCCGCTGCTACTGCCGCCGGCGGCGGTCTCGTGGTTGGATCCGCTACTCCGGCCTGCAACGGCTCGCCGCCTCCGTCGCTGCTGCCGGTCGGAGGTGGCGTGGCCCCGGCTTGCGGAGGCGGGTACTTCACGTCGAGCAGCGGGATTCGGGTTCGCCTCTGAACGGGACAGGGAAAGTTACTGGTTGTGGCCGGGCGGGAGTACTGACCGTTCGTGATGGTCAACAGGAAGAAGATGAGGGTGATGCCACAGGGTGGCGCGCAATCAGCTTGCTGATTGGTCAATTTATTGATTGGCAGATAGGTCGTGTGGCAGTTTTCGGGGGGGACGTGCCGTCTTTGGACGAGCTTGATGTTTTTTTTGGGTTCGGGTACAGTTTGGCCTTCTGTTTTTGCGCGACACGCCATTGGGCGCTGTTGTTTTCTTCGTACCTTCGCGTGCGGCTTGCATAGCACGGAGCAATTTTTGTTGGGGGTACGTGTGTACGGTCTGTATCTACTTTGTTGAAACTTGTCGTGACGTAGCCGCGGCGATTGTAGGCGGAGCATGCGGGCGTTTGTGGAGCATGTTTTTCACTCCATGCATGCGGCAAACGAGGCCAGGTGTAGATGAGGAGGGTTCGTTTTTGTGTGTGCGCCCCAAAGGGGTGCGTTATCTGTCGATGGTTATACGGTTGATGTGTATGGAGAAGACATTTGTTTGCTTCGGGCTTATGAACGTGGTCAGAGCGGGGAGGGTACCAATCCAATGTCTTGAGGGAAGAGCATTCATTAGTTGGTCGGTTTGGGGGGCGCTTCTCCACGTGATGGGGGTCATGCATAGCCACTGGAGCGGATGGGTTTTGTCTATTCTCGTTTGTCGTGGTGGTGAAAGAACGCAGAGGGGTTGAAAAAGGGACGCTTGTGCGTGTGGGTGGATGGAAATGGAAATTGTGGACGAAGTGGTGGACCGAAACTTTTTCAGACGAGACGCTGGGTATGTATGCGTTGGTGCAACACATAAATCAGACAGAGCGACGAGTGCAATGCAGGGTGTTAGTAATGGCGGAGACGCGGGCTGCCACGCATCACCTCTCACGGAGGTTCTACATGGAGACAGAAGAAGAGAAGATGTCACTCATTCAGCTTCAATAGTGGCTGACCCAGGGTCGCACCAAGTCCGCTGAAACCCTCCCAAACCCAGCCTTTTCTTTAACCGCACACCATGTGGTACATCTACATATCATGGCCGTGACAAGTCATGTCTGCTCTCTCTCCTCTCGTGAATCCGTACGCTCCCCTTGAACAATCTCTCTCCAACCGATTCCGCTATAATGAATGTCCGGGGTCCAGCCAAACGGGCCTGCTTCGTTCGTACAGGGCGGTGTTCGTCAGGTCAGTAGCCCAACTGCTGTTGCATTATCTGCTCTGTTTCAACAACTTTCAGGAAGCATTGGATTTTTGAACGAGGCTTCTTGTCACGGCAGGTGGACTTCACTCCCCCCTGACATGGTGACACATCTTTCTTGGCCTTTTAAAACTCCGGTGGGGGGGTGGCAGAGAAAAAAAAAATCGACAGGTTCGTTCATTTGCCACGTAGTAGTAGTGATTGAGGCGAAAGTTGGGCATGGGTCGTGCCAAATTCTGTTCTCCCAGTATGTTTCCCCGATTGTTGTACTGTTGTTTGGTTTTCCTGTGTTTCTTTCGCTCGCTCTATCTTCCTCCGATGACTCCTCCTTCGTTGCGATATGGAAGTATCGTTGCAAACGCACGCAGGAGCTTCACACAGCACAATTTTTCTGTCACCAGATTTCGTAGTACCTTAAATTACATGATCGATCCAAGCACGTACTGAAAAAAAAAATGGAAGCTACAATCAATCGTTGCCGTTCAGCTCGAGGAAAATATCTGCTCCGGCAACAACTTGGTTCCGGAGAATTTTTGCATGACGTCCCCCTGGGAACTGCAGCGTCCCGTGGAATACATCGTCGTCGCATACCCCCCCCCCCCCCCCTCTAGGGCACATGGGGTGGACCTCCTTCCCGAAACGTGGGGCTAAACACACCTCCTCCCGGCAATATGGGGAACAACAAAACATCTCTTAAACACCATGCGTTGGTTGTGCGAAAGCCCCTCCCTGAAACTTGAGCATGAGTGCCTGCCTACTGCCTTGTATGGTGTAATCAAGGACTGTTGAAATCCCTGTCCATAATTAATTGTAATTGGAGCAACTAGTGTGTGAGCATTATTCCAGCGTTTCATGGACGGACGTTGTATGAGCGCTTATTGGATATTTTGATTTTTCTTTGGATATGGATATATGGATATTTGGCGTCCTTGAGGGGTATGTATTGAAGTAGCTTGACGGAAGATCAAAATCCCAGCCCCGCTCCCTCACTCTCCGAGTGGGCGCTGAGCGGACCTGGTCTAAGAAGGCTAAACAAGAGATCAAACAACAACTAACACTGTGAGTACCCGAAGCCAGGAGCAACGAGCTTGCTCCCTTCCCTCTTTTCTTTTCTCTGTTCCTCCATAACAATAGCATACACCAATGAATAAAAATTGCACATTTAATAGGCGTTCAATGTTTCCTTACGTGTAGTCTATGAAACAACAGAATACAAATCTTTCGCAAAATACTGCTCAAATACAAAATCTCCTTATATGCTGTCTGGGAAATCGTAGACATACAGGTACTTTTCTGACGCTATGAATCCATTGCTAATCTGTCTCAGACTCTTTTCTATGATGGAGATGGTTTCGTGGTGTCATATTAAGAAGAAAAAAAAAAACACTATAAAACTCCAGAAAAGCACCGTACGACTCAGCAAGAGAGAAACAAAACCCACCAACCCGCAAAAAAAAAAGACAGCACGTACGACGGCACTCGGCATTAACCCGTGCCCTCACCATATACCACGCAATGTTACCTACGTAGTGTAAAGGGCGGGTCCTACCCTACCTAGTGTATTGCAAGCCCTACGTACTACTGTAGGAGACACCATTTCCACACACCCTAAGGTCGGCATCACGTCCAAGCACGCACGCTAACAGGCCTCGCGCGCGTCTGCGACAGACATCGAAACCACCCACCACCCAGACAACACGAACGAACGGACGTGCATACTCCATGAGCTACCACTACCAACCACCCAACCAACACTCGTTAGCATGCTGGAGGCGTCAGAAACGAACGCCAGCCAGCTAAAACACTGAACAATAAATTAAATAGAGGGTGGAATCTGAGATCTTGTTGGAGTCATCCATGTTTCACAACGTTCGCGACATTTTACCCCTTTACCCCCGGTACATTAATACGTATCAGTTGCATGCCACACACTCCCATCACTACTGTTACACGTTCCAATCGGGTAATACCTGCGAAACATATTCTGGTGCGTATGTATTTCGGTCAACAGGTTCCGCCACAAATGTACCTCTCGTGGCTCTCGACAACAAAGACACCCGAGCCAAGCGAACGCGCGAAAACCTTGCCTAAATATCCGCACGGAAAAAGAAGTATCCTCAAACAGCATCTCATGACTACTACATTTTAGCATTGGTCCGAGTATCAAGCACGTCAAGAGGATGATACGTGCAGCATAAAATACGTTTTGGGGAAAAAGCAAATGCACAAGCCCACAACCACGCCCCCGCCCCCCGCCCCCCGATCTCACCGCACTTTTCCATTCAGATCATTACCCGATTGTTTTCAACCTACTTTCGCTTCGGCCTTGTATACTTGTCCGGTTGCTCTCCCCCAAGACAGTCAAACCACGCAACACCCTCGAAACCCACGCAAATTTACTCCACGAAACAAACGAAAAAACAAAAAATCCTTCACAACACGCACAGAGTCCTTCAAAAGTCTAGCAAGAATCCTCCACAGCACAATGCGACACACAACCCCCACTTTTTTTTGTTGAGAAAACACAAATACGAAAACCGCGTAAAATATAAAAAAAAATCCGTGTAAACCCACCACTAATAGTGGACCGTGCGCCTGAAAGAGCGGCAAATCCATCCGCGCACGAGAAACAAAACGCGCGTACTACACCGCGACTCGCAATAAAATGGGCGGTACCTCCCCCCTATCAACACAACAACCATCCTGCATACTTCTATCCTGCCATGGCTTCATTTTGACCGTATGTTGTGCTTCGCTTACACTCCGCACCCTGCCACCCCGCGTGCCCTAAACCAACCAACAGCAGAAACGTTTATGCTCTGCGCACCAGCCTTTCCCAGAAGCAACAACCGCAACCGCAGCCACACCAAAAAAAAACACGCGCACACCCCCCCTCTTAAGACCAAGCTAAGACGCACATTTTTCACTTCCTTCTTTTCCGACCATGGAGGAGGCGTTTTCGTACAAGAAGGAGGCGGGAGTGATCGGGTAAAGGGGTTACTCGGACATACACAGCAGTATCAAGCCTGGCCGACCATCATCAGTAAAGTCAGGTGGATATCATCACGACGAAGCCTTCATCCAGGGGTGACGAAGGAGATTCTCGACGCTGGGCCGTTCCGCGGGGGAATGGCGCAGGCAGGACTGGATCAAACCCGCAGCCTGTAGATTTTTGGTGTTTGGGGACGACGTCGGGATTAGAGAGCGACGACTCACTCGAGCACCGGTGCAGCGAACATGAGTCGAAAACGCCATCGTCAACATTGGACTACGGGAAATAGGGGGCTTTCCACGTTGTTGACGCCCGCTTACTACCCGAAGCCTCCGCACGCAGATTGTTGCTCAAACGGGTAAGCCCTCTCGGCGAACAACACTAACCAAATTCTTCGCGCTCGTATCAATACCACCGAACAGCGCTTTCAGTAATAGCTGGAGGTATGCGAGACAAATTCCAACACCGATATGGGAGACTTAACCCCTGCTTCCCTACATGGCTTACCTCCGGTGACAAGGAGATCCCCCACGCCGACAGAAGGTCCACGAGTCTCTCTTCGACGGCCACGATCTGACACCGCTGATCCTGGGATGGAAGAGCCATCTCGAACGGCGGAACTCCTGTCAGCATGCTGCACGGCGAGAGTTACACCGGGGGGGGGCGGGGGTTGAAAGCATGCCGACAATGTCGGGTTTAGTGCCCACGCTTACTCCGCCTTGAAAGGGTAAAGTTTGGGCAGGGGAAAAGGATACCCCTCGCGGGTGCACGGGCTACTTTCGCGCGCAAGAAACCTTGTGCTCAACATATACCTACCTACCGTTCACCAAACGAGCACAGCACCCTCAACTCCAAAAAAGTATAAGATTTTTAGCTTGAAACTGCAGCAGCAGCAGCAGCAACAGCAGCGGCAGGAACAGCAGCAGCAAATACTTACACGAAGAGCAGGACGCCGCACGCCCACACGTCCACGGCGAACCCGTCGAATCCGCTCGAGACCGAGCTCGACAAGACCTCCGGGGCGATGTAGAACGGCTTGCCGCAGGGGCCCTGGGGAAGGAGAACCCTGGCCCCGCCGTCAGGCTTCTGAGGAATGCGCAAAGCCAGCCCGAAGTCGACAAGCTTCACGGTGTTCCCTTCGTCCAGCAGCAGGTTTTCAAGGCTCACGTCCCTAATATTGGTAGGCATTTGTCGACGGAAGAAAGGGAAGGGTGTCGGATAACGCAGAGCAAGACAGGTTGAAAAAAATAACACCATTCCATTGATTGATTGCCGATGATTTGGCGTACAAGAACACCGCAAAGTATTTTGTTACAGATGCTACAGTAGCGGCAACACAACCAGCAGGGTGGTGCATACTGGTAGTTCATCCCCCAACGCGCTATTTTACTGGCGAGAACCCGTCTTCCCACCGTTCGTTGTTGGTTTCGGTTTCCAACACGACATGGGCAAAGGTAGAGACATGGCACCGTGCTTTTTCTCTCTTTTTTCATCTTAAAAACCCCCGTCCCAGCGATTGCTGCTCGCCGTTGGCAGTGCCGTACTCACCGGTGGCAGACCCCGTGGATCTTGAGGTGGCGAAGCGCGTGCAACACCTGGCGGAACAGCGGTCGCGCCTCGCCCTCCTCATACCGACCCCGGTCCGTCAGCGCGTCGAAAACCTCGCCCCCGCTGTAGAACGGCGTGACGATGTAGATGCTGTCCGAATCCCAGAGTGCCTGTGTAGTAAACAAGACGATCGACGGCCCCTCAATACATATACATCTCGCACAGGTGCTTTCGCAGCCACCAAAACAGATATCTTCGCCAGAAAAAAATAAAGGCCCTTGCAAATTTAGGCAGTTTTTTCCCCTGTCGGGTACTACACGTAAACAATTTGCACTGCTGCGCCACCTCCGCTGATTACGCATAGCGCCCGCTAACAACACGACAGATGGAAAGATTGGTCGCACGGCAGCCAGCCATAAAAAAACTTCTATTTCCTTGTCATGCCGCTGCCCTTTGGTACGATACACGACAGTGTATGATTTCTGACCTCGGTGCAAGGAAGGACGTTCGGGTGGCTCGACAGGAACTGCAAAGCGGCCACTTCCCGCAGCGGATCCTCGTATGTCCTGCCCTGCACCTCTCGCAGCTTGTCCAAGTTGAGCTCCTGCGAGATTTTAGGCACATACATGCATGGGGCAATATCATCTCAAGGGCGAAATAGTGCAACGGTACAAGAACCGGCGCTCAAACGGGTTGCTCCTCCGCGATTGTATTTTTTCGTTGGAAATCACTTCATTTTTTTCGAGATGCCGACGACGTATTTATGCACACCCTTCGCGGCAACCACACTCTCAGCAACCGCGAAAGAACAATAACAAAATCGAGAACACCGAATCGAACACCAGTGTAGGCATTTCGTCTCCGGCACGAGCATAGCAACTTGAAGCAACAGAAAAAACTAATCACCTTGATGGCGAAGTACGCTGGCGATGATGCCGCGGCTTCTTCGTCTGTAACCTCAACAGCACGCAACACCTCTCCGAACTGGCATTCCCTGGAGGAGCTGACCGCCCTCCAGCGGCGGCCTGTCGCCTGCGATCTGAGGGTGTAGCTTTCGTTCTCCATCACCTTGAGGGCCTTGGAGAAGGTAGGCATCGGGAAGCTAAGCTGGTCGTACGTTTCGGCGGAAGAAGAAGAAGCGGCGGTTGCGGTCGACGACGCCTGTGCTGAGGTCGTGGTGCTGCGAACCTTGGGCGGTGGGGCTGAGCTGTGCCGCTTGATCTTGATATTGTCTTCACGCCAGGAGGCGAGCAGCCGCCTGCTGTGCTGTTGCTGTGCTGGAAGAGCCATTGCCGTCCTCCTGCTGGCGTTCATACAAGTGTGGAAGGGGAGAACATACCCCACGTGTAATACTGTTTTGTGAGCTCGACACGTGGGTGAGTGTGTGCATGCATGCGAATTCGCGGCGACGCCTCCTTCATCCGACATGTTGGATGATGAGAGAGCGAATTTGCAGATGACATGAATCGCGGAAAAAACAGCCAACCAAAGGAAGGGGCGTGCAGCTCAGCAGTGACCAACCTATTGCCACCAAACATATAACGACCTAGGATAAAGTAAGGAAGTGGTGGCCATGTGGCCATGTTCTGAGAGGCGACGAACTGTGGCGCAGCGGCAGTGATTGCAGTCCACGCAGAGCGTTCTCGTGCAAGTTCTCAACGAATTTGCAAATCCGCTGTTGTTGGCAAACTAAATAATCGTGTGCAGACTTTTTCTCCGTGCTGAGGAGGATGCCCCGCCAAGACGCACTCCGGTGCTACACCACAAGCCATGCTGGGCTCACGAGTTTTCATGCTGCCATTACTAGATGCAGTAGGACACAACTATTACATGCGATGCTCTAGATCCACGAGGAGCACGTGAGGATGTTGGCAAACACGACCCACCTTGACCTCTCTTGAATCCTTGATGCGGACGGCACGGCCCTTGAGTCGCTCGCGCTGGGGATATCAGACGTCAAACTAGTCTCCTCCCTACCTATTCTAGAATTGTAGGTTATATCGGTCCAGGCTGGCGAAAGGTGGCGTGGAAAGTGAGAGATAGAACGCGAGAAAAAGAGAGCCTGTTGGGAGAACGGAGCAGGCCGCGCGCGATTTAAACTTCGGTGTCCAACGGTGATTGGTCGAGGGTTTGCGAAATTGCGAGGAAAGCCGTTCGCGAGGTACAAACCCGGGCTGACGACGCCACGACGGCCTCGCCTCTTGTCTACCGGCACAGATTATCTCTCCTTCTCTTCTCCTCGATGGGCCAGGCTAATAGGGTGAGCCCCGCCCCCTTGGCCGTGATAGTCGCTGCCGCTGTTACCGCTGCTGTCGCTACGATGCCTCGAAGCGGTATGGCGTTTTCTCTTCGATTTCCTCTACGGCGGCGGGACTGTCAGAATCGACCTGGACTCAGCATCATGGCCGCGAACAAGAACGCGCCGGCTTCACCTCCTATTAGGTACCAGGTACTACGGGGTAAACCATGAGTGCGAGGGCCTGTGCCAACCTTCCCATCGTCACATATGTCAAGCACCGTGTTTTAGTCCGTGTTGACTCAGTCGAGCTACTGCTGTACACCCTTCCAACCAACAGTCACAGCCCAGGCACCGACTCCACCGATGTGTGCACAGCAGTCCCTATGCTATGAGGGCCTGCAGGTATGCGATGCATTTGACTGGGGAGGGAAAGAATACATATTTATACCTCGTGAGTCCGACCCGGTGGTTTATCATCCCTAAATAGCTGGTGTACTCGTAAGATTCATCACAGCGCTCACATGTCAAGTTGCAGTTACATTACGACACACAGCAGCTTCCGTGGTCGACGCCATAATAATACAGTAGACTATCGCTTGGTACAGCAGTGTTAGCAAATGGTAGGGGTGTGTGATTGTCGCTTACCCCTTGCGCTGCATTAGACTGAGATTGTGCAACAGAGTTAGGCAATTTGATCTAGCCCGGGTCGTTTCTACGTAATTAACGGGCCGTAGACTAGTTACTTGCTGTATGTTGCGTACGCCGTCTTTGACTCGGAGGTGAGAATACTGTCTAACAAGGGTGCTGACCGAGCATATTCACAGGAACACCTGTTGCGTGCTTGTTGCTCTCCGGTGCGTGTTTTCGACCCTACGTATGTATGTACGCTTTCGCTACACAGAAAAACTACAAGAATTCCAATCCCCACAGAGCCCCCCCAGGAGAAGTGGCGGGAGCAGATGGAGGGGATAAGATCCGTGCGGAGGTCGCGGGACGCGGCTGTTGATTTCGCAGGGGCAGGGGCTTTGAGAGATTCAAGCGCGGGCAGTGAAGACGACGTGCGGTTCCAGGTAGGTCCCCGAGTCACGAGTCACCCGCTGTTCCTACGGTTGTGCTCGTACCGATAGGATGAGATGGTTGCTAGGTTTTGCTTTTCAGGGTTGGCTGATCTTCTTTGGTCTTTGGCTTTCACGCTGTATTCGCCGCATTGTTGCATGTGAGCCCCCTTGATCCTTCCAACGTGTCCGATTGACGTCTAGGGGTCACTGTGATATTATAGTCAGACACAGCAGCTGATCATCTTGTTGTGCCCTCCAGGTTTTGATGTCTGCGATGCTCTCCAGCCAGACGAAGGACCCCGTCACCGCGGCCGGCTTAAACCGGATGAGACAGGTGATTCAGCAGCAGTAGCCTAGCCGCTGCCATCTGAAGCGCTTGCCGTCACTGCAGAGCGTTAAATCATACCTCGGGCGCGGAAGAGGGTGAGGGACAAGCTGTGCTCGTGTTTCGCTTTCTATCGGTGGAACTGAAGAGGCACAAGCACGATAAATACGAGTACTTGCGTCAAACTAGTACTTTTATTTTCGGCGAGCCACCATCGGTGTAGCGTCTCGCCCGCCCGAATGCCGACGACTGCCGACACAATACTTCGCAGGCGTGCGCGCCAGCTCCCTTGGGAGCAGCCGCTCTTCTCGCGACTGGCATGGACGAGGACGCGTTGACGGAGCTACTCCATCCCGTCAGTTTCAAGAAGACCAAGGCGAGTGCTGCTTGATTAGGCCACCGGAAAACATGTGGTAGATATGAGTCATCATTCTGCCTGTGGTGTCGTTCTCGGCCCTGTTTTTGTACATTTTGCTATATAACGCGGAGTGTGGAGTGTTCTTGTTGGGAAGGTGGGGGGGGTGACGCGGTCGTTCGCCGTAGCAGAGAATTGCATGTTCGTAGGGGAACGTGTCCACATCGTTGTGAAGCAACGGGGAACCCTAGCGCGCCTGCCTGGTGTATGCCCTCCACCGTATGAATGCTCCTGTGGCGGCCGAACAACGAGCGCACGTAACCGGCAACACTTGGAATGATCAAGTTCAAGCGTCGCCAGATCTGTTATATTCATTTTCTGCTGCGTTTTACAGCTTGCGATGACCCCATGCCCCCCCTGCTCAGGCCAAGCATATCTTGATGGTGTGCAAACGGTTAGCCGAGGCAGAGGATGGTCGGCAGGCTGGAGCCATCCCCGATACGGTCGAAGGTGCGTGATAATTCCTTTTGGCGGACGCAAAGGTGGTGATTTCAGGCTTACGGCGAGGTGGTTCCTGGATTTCCGGCGAGGTGAATTCCGGCACTGGGACACCTGAACTCAGGCCTTCAACATTTGTCCTGCCACGGTTGGGTGTTGACGTGTGTTCCTGTGTCCGCCACCCTTGACCGTTGAACGCACGCAAGGTCTGCTCGAACTCCCGGGGGTCGGGCCGAAGATGACGTATCTCGTCATGGACGTGGCCTGGGGACGGAACGAAGGGATCTGCGTCGACACCCACGTGCACAGGTAGGTACTAGCGAAGTGTCCGCGGAGGGGTGGGGCGAGCACCCGGTGAACATCAATCCAGTTCGTTTGGCAAGGGGACGTTTGTGTTGACATGTTTTTTCGTCTTTCTCACCCGACTTTTTTTTTTCCTTTCGCCGGGGACTGGGAAACTTGGAATTTTGCAGCTGCTTGGGTTCGTGCTTGACGTACCGAGTCAAGGAATTCGTAGTATTAATTTCAGGACGAGTATTTGCATCTGTTGTCCGCGTGTCCTTTGCCCAAGCACCGCAGGTTACGTCGATCGTTGTGGAAGGCTACTCGGTACGATCGCGTGTTGACTGGTATTACCGGAAATATAATTCTGAAAGGTCGCCATGCTAGTCTGTTCCAACTCCACTCCCCCCCCCTGTACTCACTTTGTGGTGCATTCTACGGTCATCTTTGAGCACGTCATCATTGAACACCCCGGTTGACGACCCTCCACCGCACGTTCTGGTGACTCGGCGTAAAACAATTTCAGCCTTGTCTACATCACCTGCAACAAACCGATCGAATAAAGAAGAATGGTATGGTGTTGCGGTTGTCGGGGGACGCCGAAGGCGTCGCTTCCGGTGTTGTTGGGTGGATATTCGAGTGGAGAACCCCTACGCGCACCGAAGATCGTCGCCCAGTCCGTTTTCGTCCCCCTTGTCCCTACGTCCTCGCAACATCTGTGGGTGCGAATACATTGCGGCCTGGAGTCGACCAACGGGATAGTGCTCCTATTGGCCTGTTTACCTGGTAGAAGGTATTTCTTTCGACTACGACCCCCAAGTGTCCATACACCTACACCAGTAGCCTGCTTGCCCCGCTGTGCTTGCCGGAAAACGGCACCCCTTCCTGGAGTAGGATTAGCAACCGTCTCGGATGGGTAGACACGTGGAACAGGAACAGACCCAAGGCTCAGAACCCGGAGAAAACCAGGAAACACCTGCAGGGGTGGCTGCCTCGCGAGCACTGGTGAGAATGCAGGATTCTGCTCTGTGTGCTTGTAGCTCATGGTTTGTGCGTCAACTGCGCGCTGTTAGCTGATCCCTTTCCCGGCTACTAAGTCACTTTGCGTGTGCGTCGTTCATCGTAAAGCTGGGTGCTGCACAGGCGTTGGGCGCATGGGTTAGCGGGTGGAGCAGGGCTTGAACGAGGCCCCTCGTTGTGCCCGCGGTTACGGATTTCATACATTGTTGTGTATGGTAGTGCATTGCTCGTGGTACGTATTTCTTTTACGCCCGCAGTCATGTGTCGAACATTCTTGGACGCTAGCTATGTTCCTTCGCTCGAGGAGATATGAAGGCGTCGCCGACTTCGGCGTTCCTCCTTTTTCAGCGCCGGGTACTGTCAGGAAGACTGCTGTTGCTGTTTAGCACCCACAACCACCCAAAATCCCAATTTCAGAAAAACGGGGGGCTTTGGTCTTACGTACATGCTCTTTCTCTCTCGCTCCACCTCGTCGTCTGTTCTAGATTCCTCGTGTCAGCTGTTGATTGCTTCTCAAATAAGCGTATTGAGGAGATTCGATGCACTGACACCGTTCATCTCAGAGCAAGTTCTTTCTCGTGAAATCAACTGCTTTGTTTCTAACCGTCACCCTCTTCTTACTCCATCCGCACCTCTATATTCTTCGCCAACCTGTTCGCGTAATGTGTGCCAATGCTAAGGTCGGAGGTCAACGAGCTATTGGTGGGATTCGGGCAGCAGGTCTGCTTCGCGACGAGGCCGTCGTGTTCTGCTTGTGGCATCAGCGGCCTTTGTCCCTCGGCAGATAGACACGGCGACCTTGCTCTACCGCCAAGCAAGTGACGTATTGAGTAACGTATGAGTACGTTGTCCGTTGCAGCTTTGAACTGCTTTGGCGTAAATTCGCCATGGTTGTACCGTGGGGAGGACTGCGGAGCAAACCCTCGACCAATCTGGGAACTCGGCGGCGTAAGCCATGTTAGTGTTTTTGGTGACTTATGTTGAGTTTTTTATCGTGACTGCCTTCTGTTTTTCTCGTTTTGTTTGGCAGAACGAAGAATATACGGCGTGCTATGCACAGTTTTCCAGCGTGTTTGAGGATTTGTCTTACGCGAAATTTCTTTCTCGTCTGGTCCTCGCCGAAGGACACCAAAATAGTAATTCATGCCGCTTGGCGCCGCCGCTGTGGTACAGACGTCACTACCGAACGATGTTGCCGTTGACGATGTTGCGCATGTGCTATACTCACGACATTATTTCCGCACACGTCTTGTTGTTGATCGATGATTCAAGGGCATTTACCTGATTGACTTTGCGGCATACATGCGACTAGACTACAGTAGTCTACCTATCTCATGTCCAGCTCAAGCAAGAAAGCCCAGAATTGGGGCAGCGGGAGTACAGCAGTGTAGACCCAGATGCGGTAGGCTCGTGGATTTGCCGGACACGCACGAGGAGGTGGATTGGCAGTACCATCATCGCAGGTGGATGTAGTTTCGAACGGGAGGTGCGGCGCATGAGCGGCAAATGACAACGATTGGGCGGCTCTTGGACCCTCGCCGGGTGTTGTCAGCCCATGGGTGGCCTTTGAGCGGTCCATGGGCGGTCGATGATCCATGGTGACCCAAGAACGGCCCATGAGCGGCTATTTCAACCCTTGACGAGACTCATGCCAGCTGCCGTTGGGCGATGTGGGTCGTTGATGGCTTGATGGACCATTTTGGTACTTACTGACTGGATCAACAACCACCTGTTGAGGCGTCCAAGCGGGAGATTAGCCCGGGCAGGTGGCATGCAGTTGGGATCTTCACGCAGACACGGAACGAGAGACTGAGACACATGAGACCAGTTACAGCAGTAGACCACAAGAAGACCGGGAAGACCGGGCAGCCAGGTCGAAGGGTCGAAGAGATCGGACCATCGGGAGCTACAGCAGCAGATGTTCTCCTGCGGCGGCTACCTACGCAATGCCAGTTCGTGTTGCGGGCTAGCCGCAAAATAAGTGTTGTTATTGTCACTACCTGTCGTTTCGACGGCGCCGATTGCTTAGCGTTTCTTGTCGTTTGTCGATACGGACGGTTGGTTCTCGTCGTTCCCGACGGTGTTTTTCTTGCGTTTTATTCTTTTCTCTAGGTTCCGACACCTGTTCTTGTTGTTACGGTATGTAAGGCGTTGACGCGGCTCTTGTGCTATTTTTCTGGTTTTTATTTTCTCTGTTTTCGTTCGTAGCCCCCGTATTTTCCTTTTTCCCTATCTACGTTTTCATAGTTGGGTCAAAGGATGGTCTTGCGACTCATCGTGTGAGAGGTGTAGGAGGATAAATTTTGGTATGTTGGGAGCTGTAGCTCCGCATCCTCGATCCTTGCATTCTGGGATTCGACAATTAGACTAGTTGCCAAGTTCCGAGATTACCACGTATGCATATATGTGTGTATTAGAACCTCCAGGGTGGGCTAAGTAGTGTTGCGGGATTTGAATTTAGAGTATCAACGGCTTTGCGGAGTAATTCCCTGTGAGGAAAGTGCGGGAAATGGATGTAACTCCTGATTGAAGGTAAAAGAGGGGACAGGACCTTTGTGGCCCCGTTTAGAGGGACCATGTCCTCCCCGTCTGTACGCATCAGTCTTTGGGCGCCAACCAGCAGCAAGCACTGCTGTTCCAAGAGATGAATTCATAAACGAGTCTTCATATGAGTCTTCAGGAATCGCTACGCGTGTATTCCCACGACACGAGCGGAAGCTACGGAACACGTGGAATAGGAGCGGCCGCCCGACGTAAGTGGCGGCAGCGTAACAACGCGTGGTCGCGAGTTTATTTCTGGTTCTTGAGTGCACATGAAGAATAGATGTGGCGATTTATTCTGGTTCTTGTTATTTCACCGCCCGCCTCATCTGGCAGCCCTGCGTTCATCTTGGGCGTTTTTTAGATCCACCACCCGTGGTTTGTCCCGCGTTCACAGTCGTGCTGACCACTGGATCTGTACCTACAACAGTTGCGGCCGCCTACCACGCACAGACACATACACCACATTTCCAGGCAACACGGAACATTCAAAAGTGGCAGGTACTCGGAGGAAACAAGCGCAACCGAAAAGAGGCAGAAAGAGCAGCAGAGCAGTGGTTGTAGTCTACAGGGACAGGAGTGATGGTGTAGGTTTTGAAGAAACAGCTGTTGACGACAGCGCACATCATCCACATGTGCTAGGTATCAGCTAGAGCAGGCGGTGCATGTCATGCAATTCGAACCCTCGGGAGTGCTCTGGAAGGCTTGCTTCTTGAGTTGCGGTCAACGGCAGCTTGTCCCCGCACTTGTATGTTCGCAAATACAACGGCTACACGAGCACCGACGCCATTTTTTTGCATGCGAGACCCCTGATGATGTCAACGCCTAAACCGCTTGAACCGGTAGCATGTAGCATCTGTGGTAGCCACATCCCCGAGAGTGGTCACATACATCCAACCACGTCCTGAATTACCACCGAAGAGCCCGTGTCCCACGTTCCCCATGGTGCGGCGTAACTACTGGTGTAGAGGTCAATTCGTTTCCGGGAAGAATATTTTGTGTGGCGAGCACAAGCAGGACACTTGCTTTTGGGGAGATTTGCGGAGATATACACTACGATCCTCGACATCACCACCCAAGAAGCAAACCTGAACGTACCAGCACACACGACGCTTCTTCATGGTGTCCTCTACTGATAACAGTATTTAGGCCGCTAGAAATGGCGGGAAGGTTGCGGGAAGTTGCTTTCTATCGTATAGTATGAACTATGAACAAGAGCCAGCGTCAGAAGGGTTTTTGAGTTCCCCTCAGCCGCGGATCCTACACTAAACTCTCTAGACTATAATAGTCTATACAATTACCTGCTCGACGGCGGTGGCGAAACAAGAAATTGAGCCTCGACCCCAAATGGACGTTTCTTATTCGCAGGCCGCAACTAACTGTATATCGTATGCAAGAGCGCTATGAGACCTGCACATTCGCTCGGAGAAACCGGTGGACTGGACTATGCGTTTAAAAACATCTTACGTTTCTCCCTCGGACCTTGTCCGCACTCTCTTTCTACACCAGAAGCTAGCCGCTAGCGACTGCCGGCATATCACCCTTTGCGGTGCAGCCGAGTCTACCTGGATCTGCTGCTGATCGACGGGGAAGAAGAGTGATCGTTACAGGCGGTGAGGTTCGCTTCTGTTTTTTCCTGGATTTAAGGAAGGGCGACGCAACAGCAGCGTTCCAAAATGCGGGAGAATATAGTCTAGCCACCAAGCGTGGTGCCTGACGTTGTATCCTGTATTCTGGTTTCCACAGAGAACTGGCTGTCCCCATTTTCCAGTCATCATCACAGCTCGCATATATTATAGTGCTGCTGTGATATCTACAAAGAAGGGAGTGTACCCATCCAGCACCCCGCGCACGCACGAAGCACGAGCCCATTACAAATCATTAACAGGGTGTGAAGCAAAATGAATGGTGTCCAGCAGACATTGTTAAAGCCGAACGGATCAAAGGCACACAGTCATCGCTGTTTGTGGCGATCTCGCCTATTTGACCCACGAGCTCAGACGTCCAACCAAAGGGCAACGGACCAGCAGGTCCTGGCCCCCTTTGTCGGGGCGCGGTAGCGGCATCATTTGTGACAGACAGCGCGTTCTCCGAGTCAATTGACCAAAAAAGTCATATACTAGTTTGGTGTGTTGTTGATGAAATCGGTGTGGAGGAGTGACTCCGAGTGTGGCATTGAAACTCGCTTCGGTCGAAGGCACTTAACGGGGTTTCGAGCGTGGTTTCGAGCGTGGTGCAGTGTTCGTGGCGCGTGGTTTGCCTGGTTCACCACACGCACGCGTGGTTTGCTGGGTTCACCACACGCGTGGTTTGCTTGGTCCAAAATACATTTACTTGATATTTTTAAAAAGAACTCTGCAACGGCCGTTGAGCATCGTACGTGTCGTCCATTTGGCTTCGTATTCTAGCCTGAGTTGAACCACTCGCAAATCGTGGCGCCGCCGCCGCAGTTCCTCAGTGTTTTTGTTATTTAGACTATTATTGTCCATCACTTGAATCTTCGTTTCTGCCGGGTAGCTCCAATCCGTGGTTACGCCTGAAGGGTTCGTCTACTTACCCACCACTCCTGCGGTGCTTACCTCCAATTGTATTAATGGAAGAAGGGTGCAATACGCTCTTCCGTCAAAGTGTACACACGAACAACAGTAGCACTTTTCCTCGAAGTACCAGGAACGGATCCGAGAGAAAATCTCACTTTGCAAGAAAAACTCGCATACGCCGGGATTCGATTCCCGGACGTTGGCCACTATTATTGTAGAAGGTTTGCGAGGATACCAACTAGAATACCGGGGCGACCAGCTCAACTCAAACCTCCAGGGAAATAAGATGCGTATCCTCAACTGGGCCGTGTATGTGCCTTGTTTTGACGTTCTGCCGAGCACTGTACATGGTGGCATATCGCACTGAACCGTGGTGGTGGGGCTTCTTCGCCCCGCCCCGTACCTGCCCACCGCGTTTGCTTTGAAACCATTCTTCCTTCAAGTAGGCTGGCCTGCAATTTCCACATCGCCATGGCCACCACGAGAGCACCCGCTAGCGGCCAAGGTTTCAACGAGGCTACGGACGCATCGTTTCCCCCAACGGAGTGAGTGCAAAGATCAGCGGGGATTAGGCGTTATCCGGAACCGGCATTGACGCGGGTTCAACTTTGCCGGGTAGGCTCTGGGGTGGTGTTCGTCCCCGGAGCCCCGGGGACATTGCCAGGCGTTCCCTGGTCACCATGACCCTTGGTTTGCCTTGTAATCTATACCCCTCTCATATGTGGTGTCGTACCCAACTGCTTTAGACTGTATCGTGGTTCCCCCCCCCGCAAATACTGTGGGTTTTCCCAACTCTTGATGTATGTCATACATTCTGGGCGGAAGCAGTTTGATATATCGCGGCGCTGATTTTCTCGAACGGCTTCGGGGTTTAGTGCCGTCTCGGCAATCGCGAAACTCTTCATCTTTTGTCTCTACTTCGCACAAATTCAACAAACTTGATGTAAGTACGCACGAAAGAGGGAGGGCGCAAAAAACGCATGCACCCGATGCCTGTGAGGCAAGAATCAGTTACCTCTCCTCAGTCCGTTCATTGCTCTGGCGCGTGACCTTAGATATTGCAGCAGACTGTTGAGCGTTCATCAAGAAGCCTGGTGACTTTCGATGAGCTTTGTGTATTTCTTTGCTCCCAATTGGGCGTTGTTTGACTGAAATGTATGGTGCCCGACATTGGCCGCGCAAGCATCAGGATCCCCCCCCCCGTTTTGACCTCTGCTCCAACGTGTGGAAACCACTACGTAACAGAGTGGCATTTCATGCCTCGGCCCCAACGTTGGCATGGCTTGACTTACTTTTCCCGTGTTGATGCTTGACCATCCAGCGATGCCAATGAGCCCCCTCCGTATTGGTGGATGGTAACTCAGCCGATCACATCTGAGCAACCCCCTGCCGAAGACACAGCCAGGCCTCGAGCAGTATGGTGAGTCACGAACGAGGGATACTGGTGTGTCTCGGACAGTGGAATAGGGTCGAGGAAAATTGAACATTATTAGTACCACGTTGTATCCCTCCAGCAAAGGGAGGACATCAAGCCTTTCAGAACAGTAGGGGGGCACCAGACAACCCACCGTGCCGACCATACAGCTCACAAACCATTTCTTTCCCTCTCTCACTCGCTTTCAT